ACAACATGCTGTGGAATTAAGCACTGCTATTCAGACTGAAATTTAAGCCTATTAAGTGCTGCAAAAATATATTTACCACTAAAGAACCCTGTCTGAAAGCTGGTTGAATGACATGCGACTTCCTTAAGTTTCAGGTGACCAGCAGAAGCAAGATTTTGATAGAGCTGCATTTTATATATACTTGTCTGATAAGGCAAAATACTTCATATGGATCTTAGACCTGTGTGAAGAGACATGAAGGCTTTAACCAAGTGCATTACAGCAGTACAAATACGTCCGTGTTTTGTATTTTTGCCACAACTTTGCTTGAAAGCATATACTTGGTGTATTTACATAAAAATTGGTAAATCCTTAATGTGTTAAATGCTGAAATGAATAATATGTCCTGCACTGTTCACTTGGAAAATATGGGGTTTGGCATAAATGGGTGTTAGGTGAGCATTAGTGACTTAAAACCATTCTTATGTGAACTCTTATTTAAGGGAAGCAAAAGTTTTGCAGAGACCTATACAAACGTATTTCAAAAGCGAATATTCGTAATAACAATTGTTTCATAACTGGACACACTGTATTTAGAATGCATGTGGAATGAACCGTATCTTCAGATGGATGTAGCCTGTGTCAGAAGTGTTTGTGTGTGTGTACACTTTGAGCAAGGTTATGGCATTTTACATAATTTTGAAACAGAAGGAATTGGTACTTAATGCGTGGTGGAATGGAGACGTCACCTGTGAAGAACAGTGGGGTCACTTATTTATTCAAGCAACCAAGCGTGCAGCAGATGAGGCTACTACATAGTGTATAAAAACTGTAAAATAACAATCCAGTGACTTACAAGCGTTGTAGAAAAGCAGATGCAGTCACCTTTCATTAGAGGGGAAAACGGTGCCCCATCAATTCTTGGTGCCTTTGGGAAAAGACTGGGTTTGAAGTGCCTGGTCGTTTGAGGATTTTACTGTAATGTTTTCCAGAATGTCCTCTTTGGCCACCTTGGATCACAAAACAAAATTCTAGTGAATAAAATGACTGTGGTAGATAAATGTATTATAATAATAATAATAATAATAATGAAGTATTAGCCTACCAAAGACTCACTCAGGCTTTAGTGGACATGACATCTCTTTGCAAGACTTGTGTATCTTCAGTCCCACAATCAAAGTGCAGTGCAATGACTGCCCACGTGCAAAGATGGGTTCCAAATATGCTGGCTTTTTTCTTTTTCTTTTGCCTATGGGAAGATGTACAGCTGAACACGAGCTGAAGTTGGCCAAAGCGCCTGCACTGTTAACGGTTTGTTTTGGGTTTGTTTTTGTTTTGGGGTTTTTTTTGCTATGTAATTCACTAAAATGAAAAAAAGGAAATTGTGAATATCAGAATAACAGTTAACAATGTTCTGTCTTGTGTTTCATGTATTGCCATTATGGTGCTACTGGAAGTTTGGTTGGATAAAAAGAAAATGCCATCAGCTGCAGTCCTCCTCATGAGTTAGCCTCACCAGTTTCAGTAATACGCTTATAACACTAGTGCCAGTTACGTTCTTTGATAATGCTCGTTACAGTATTTGTATATTTGCAATTCAGTTTTGCTCAATAATATGCGTGTAAACTGCAAATCTGAAATAAATGTCCAAAACTTGACATCTAGTGGTCCTTTGGAGTGTGCTGAGTAGCCTTCTGAAAAGGTGTGTGTTCCTAGAAGGTGCTTTTTTTTTTTTTCCTGTGAAGTGCTGAGTGCTGTCATCTCTTGTTGCCCCTCAACACTCATTTTGTTAGGTGTGCTCTGGAAGTTGAATGCTCTGAGACTTTGAAATATAAGATCTAAAGTTAGTTGCATTTTGTACAAGACTTCAACCCAATTTCTTTTCATATTAAAGAACAGCAATCTGAGCTGCCTGTGCGGCGGGCAGGACAGTAGATGGTTTTCTGAGAGGATGCAGCTCTGGCATAAGCACATTTCTCTTTGAAGAAAACTGCACCATCTTGGTGCAAATGGGCAGCTCAGTCAGATTGCCGAGCTAAACTCAGGCTCTGCTTTCTCCATCTAAAGCGATGCTTTGCTCAATCCACATGGTCTGTTGGAAGTTCATTCTGAAACCCTGCAGACTGGCCAGAGTTCCTGGGTAACAACTGGCAGTTTTTGCTTGGCTGAGCTGCCTGTTCATTAGGCTGTTTCTCACCTGCATCATAACAGCTCAGGGACTAGGAAATTAAACTGATTGGGATGCATTACAGAAGCCAGAGCTGGATCTGCCTCGTCCCAGACCTGTATGTGAGCTGTATTTGTATCGGTGAGTAACAAGAGGGTAACTGTTACGCTGGGTCAACTCTAAAGCTGCAATTAGAGCGTTATTTATACCATTTCCAAGGGAAGGTGCTCCAAGAGAGAGTAAGAGAGGGGATGAGTGAAACACCGTGCACCCTAGAAATGGTAGCGAGGCATAAAAGCAATTTTTGCCAAGTCATCAGGCAGTCTGAGTTGGGAGTGAATGCAAATTCTCTATTCTGTAGGGAGGTTGGTGTTAACAGTTCCTTACGTGCTTTGTTCCCGATTGATTTCCCCCCCACCCTTTCTGAACACTTTTAGAAAATACCCTGGTACTGAGGAGTAAGTTTATTGAATTAGGATAGCAGTAACTGAATGGAGCATCTGCTGGTCATCATCTTACAACACCAGTTTGTGAATCCTGATGTAATTTTTCAGGCCTGTATAGAAAAGTCTCTGTTAGTCATTAAGAGAAGTGTTAACTGATTCTTTAGGCAGAGGCTGGAGAATGGAGTGAACGTGACTTGGTGAGCCAGTCACACTTCCATCACTGCACGTGCGCTCCAACTGGTGAATGTTCCTCAAGGCCTCCTATTTCTAACCTCTGAGTAAGTTAAATTTCTGTGCAGTCATCTTAAGCCAGATGTTGCTTCCTCTGTGTCAGGCAGCAGCAGATGAACCTCCCCTTTGGCTTTTATTTTGTTTAGTTTTGAATCTGATGCCTCATGCAATAGCAATAAAGTTATTGCCAGCTGGGCCATGGGCTCACTCACTTGCAGGCATTGCTGCTGTTCTCTGTTTAGAACTTCTTAACAACAGCTCATTTTAGTTCCTGATCTGCTGATCTCTGTCATTTTTACCTCAAACTGAGTTAACCTCTGTTTCAGCTGACATTCAAGCTGGAAGGTAGTATGAGAAACGGTAGCTGCCTGGACTACTTTTAGGTTTCTCGTTTAATTGCTACGGATTGCTTAAAAATGTCCTCAAGTTAACTGTGACACTGTATACCTATCTAGCTATGGAAACTCATTTGTCTGTTTCCTCATGGACAAATGATTTGTCAGTAACACTCCATTTAGAAAACACTTGTCTTTTTAGTGATGTTCAATTGTCTCCTAAATTTACTAAATATTTTTATTATGATTCACTGCTGCAAAGAGTCTGATTTTTTTTTTGTCTGCAGTGTCAAAACAAATGATACAAATGAGATGAACTGCAGCAGTCAAGAACTTTTCCTAATCCATGCACTATTAATTGAAAACACTCTGAACTCTGTTAAACTACGTCAGTAAGTTAATTTGCACACACAACGAAAACACTTAGGTACAGCGGAAGAAACGAAAAGACTGCCCTCACCAACACACACAGTAACGAACGGGAACACCTTGCCACGTTGGCACTGGTTATGCACAGATGAGATGAGCTGTAGCTCTCTCTTGAGCATGTGCCCATCTCATAAAAAGAGGACATTTATAAAGGAAAAACATCAGTTGTACTGACAGTGCTTTAGGAATTAAAAGCCTCACTCCTGGCACTCCAAGAAAAGACTCACGTGTCAGAATTGTAAGACTGAAGAGGGTAGAACCAGAAAAGAGAATCCGTAATTGTACTTTTCAAGAAAAAAAACTTTATTTTTTTTAATTAATATACACCTGAGAAAAAATTTAATTAGAACAACACTCTTAATGCTATTTCTGCAATGCTAGTGAATCTGAGATACATTTACATCACGTGTGCAAAGAAGGCATTGGGGTATTTAAAAAATTTAAAAGCTTCATCTTGAAAAAAGGAGCTTTGTCAGAATCAAATATAAAACATAAATACTGCTGGGGAAAAAAATCACGCTGGGCCAAAAAAATTGTTTTACTTGTAGCTTTATGAATATGTCTGTAAACAGAAATAGCTGGTCTTTTAAATAATCTGATTACACAACTCAGAGTTAAATACTTCTATTGCTACGTGCAGCCATGTCTTCTCCTGTTTACCACCAAAAGCCATTCAAACCAGCAGTCCCTCCACACACACAGAGAAAAAAAAATTCTCTGTGCACTCAAAATGACTCACTTGTTAATCATTTTAAAAACATACCCATTTACTTAATAATTAATTATTTTTATTCAGTGTTCCATGACATGTTAATAATATATTATTCATTCACCTTTGCTGCTAAGCTGTATTGCATCAAAAATATTTAAATCTGTTTTGTATCGACCAACCAGGGACAGTGGAGAAACTGACGGCCTACAGTCGTTTCTCTGGAAAACGTTAATGCTTTTTGTAAACTCATTTTAGAAAAGCTATTGCTAACTATTGTTTAACTTGAAGACACTTCTTTATCACCGGAACATACAACTCACAAAAAGATGTAACAAGTGGTGACTAAACATGTATCATCTATCGTACCATTAAGCTATTTCACATTATATAAACATATAATGTAAAATATATATATTTTTATTTATATATATATATATATAATTAACACAGTCTAAATAAAAGCAGTATGCAAAGTAACATGAATTCGGTTACTGAACACAGAGACGCGCACTAAATTCTAGAGATTAAAAATGTCTACAACTACAAGAAAAAAAGAGCAGCAAGTTTTACACGTGCAGATGCTGTCAAGACAAAATAGAATTCAAACAGTCCGGGAAAAGACCTGCTTCAACCCTTGCAAGTCTGCAGAGTTCACACATTCACCTGATAAACATGGACTATATGCATGCACCCAATACATTTTAAAGTTCATAAACCTTTTTAAGGCTCTCAAGGTCTTCCAAAGAGTACTGATGATTCTGGTTTTCTGAAAGTAAGTCAAAGAGTTGCTGAACCTGTTCTTTTTCATTTTTGCTAAGAAGGGCCAGCACCACCTGAAAAATAGATTATTTTATAATTAGCACAGGTTGATTAAAAATCATAGTATTTGACAGGAGATACAAAATTAGTGTATCAGTTCCTTTTAAGATACGAACATTTCCTTTAGGTTTCTGTTCACCTTAAGTACTCATTCAGCCTTGGTTCTTACCTTAAACCTTTCTGCTTTGCTCAAGTAGAATAGGTGCTGATATACAAGGCCTGGATCTTTTCCAACTACATAATATTCCAGTGATTGGATAAAAATCAAAAAGATTTCTCCTTCAAGTTTGTTACTTAGCAGCACTGGCAATTTTTTTGGATCAGTAACTGTTAGAAGATCTGCACAAGCAGCTTTATCCTTATTGGCATTCACTGCATTTATAATCTGACCAAAGTCGTAAGCATTGGATGGTTCAGAAATACGCAGTTTCTCAGAGGTCTTCAGTGGCACATTCTTTTCAACTGCTTCCTTGGAAGTAACATGATCAGTCACAACATCTTCTGCTGTAGCAAACTGTCTTTCTTCCTGTTCATCAGATTCAGTCACCTTCACAAAGAAAACGGCAACAAATCATTTTAATATGGATAACGTGAAGCTTCATAAACTGCATACCTCTATCAATCAATGTCACTAAATTAAAGTCAGCACTCTTCATAAAAGAAAGGCATCTCTGTTCCTTTATGTCCTACTTCCCCCAAAATAACACCTCTCTCATTCATCATTAAAGGTTTGTTGTCGAAAGTGTGCATTTTACATTTCCTTTCCCTGCCTGGCACTCCACTGTAGAATCAGAATCGTTTTGGTTGGAAAAAGACCTTTAAGATCATGGAGTCCAACTGTAAACCCCAAGCACCACATCTACATGTCTTTTAAATACCTGCAGGGATGGTGCCTCAACCACTTCCCTGGGCAGCCTGTCCCAGTGCCTGACAACCCTTTCACTGAGGAAATTCTTCCTAATATCCAACCTAAACCTCCCCTGGCACAACTTGTGGCCATTTCCTCTTGTCCTGTCCCTTGTTACTTGGGAGAAGAGACCGACACCCACCTTGCTACAACCTCCTTTCGCGTAGCTGTAGGGAGCAGTAAGGTCACAAATCAGTCACTAGAAAATTAACCATGGGTTCAACTACATTTGCTAAAATCCATTTCAAGCTATCAAGAGTGGTGGAATTAGCATAAGCTGACTGAACTGTCATTGAATGCGGTCTCTTCAATGGATGCCAAGGTTTTTGGAAAGTCTGAAGATCCTGTGCTGCACAGTACAGTGTTGTGCTGCAAGATCAGTAATTTCTGGAAAATATTGCATTGGGCAGTTCTATTTTTTCAACTCTCCTTACTATCGAGAGAGAAATCTTATATGTATATATAATTACATCTTGATTAAAATGGAATAGTAATAATAAATCCCAGTTTCTAATAAAATTTTCCTTACTTTTCTTTGCAGTCTGTTTTCATAGAACTACTTTGTACTACAGCAGATAAGAGAGGTAGGGCTCTCTCAGGGGGCAGCTGTAATTATGATAGCAAACATAAACGCCTCCTGCCTCACCCCTGGAAAAATTACAACTGCCAGTAATGAAGTTATCTGGTCTCTGAACAATGCAGTCACTTCCCAAACCTCCTTGAAACACCCTCCAGGTCCCTCTGTTTGTCACAACTCAGAGCTTAACTAACACTACCCGGCTTATGCTACTTACATAAAATCCATGAACTCGTGACAATGTGAAGTGTTTCAGTAAAGCAAGTTGTTTCTATGTGAATAACTGCAGTTTCCATTACAATTCCATTTTAAAATTACATTATCAAATTACCACTGTACAGACTGGTAACTATGTATTTTAACTATATATTTTAAAATGAAAAGGGGAGAAAAAAAAAAACCCAACAACATTCTTAAAGAACCAGCAAAGCTACAGTCCAAAAATACCAGATGACTGAGAAAATCCTTTCATCACCTAATTCTACCCAGAATTCTGCAAGGCTAACATTTTGATCCAGTACTTAACATTACATTGCGTCTTTCTTTTCTAAGATCCTACACTCTGCTCACACTCTTGCTCTTTAAGGCAGGATTTCATTCTTCAGACCAGGAACTTTACTACTAGCATAAGAAAGAGCCAGCACGCCTTCTGACAACGAACGTTTGCCCGCACAGCCCCAGAGGCGTCCCGAGTAGCACAGACTTTAAAGCAAAACTGTTATTTGACAGCTGTATTCCATAAAACAGGTATTTCGAAGTCTAAGCAGTTTTTGTTTACAAGAGCTTATCCTCCAGTTTAGTGCCATCTCAATGTACTTTTTTTCCATTTCTGCTGTGGTTCTGCATACACTTCAAAGCAGTCCAAGCTTTACTAAAGAATGTAACACATCATATGCAAGGGTCCTCCAATATGCCCTCAAAGTAACATGAAAAATACAACCTCATCCCCAAAAATGTAAAGCTAAGAAGTGCTTAACATTATCTCTTCAAATGTGTGACTTCTGTACTGCCTGCTTTTAAAAATGAACAGGAATACCTCTTGTATGGTTATTTTCTTCCTTTGCTTTTGTTGACTGCCAGCTACCGCACTGCTGTCGAGGTTAAGCAGCTGGGTTACCTCCTCTAGTTCCTTTTTTGCTTCAAGAACATCTGGATCTATTAGAAGCACTCTGTTGAAATCATCAACACTGGCTTGATAATTCTGTAAGTAGAAAGGAAAATATTTTTTTTCATAAGCACACCACTAGAAAAACAAATTTGAGCTACCATACTTTACAATCAAGAAAAAAAAATGCTAGGGTCTTGACATTAAGCAGACAAAAATAATCTAAATACTGACAGTGAAATTTCATTAGAAAGAAAAAAGGAAACTGACAATGAGTTTGAGTTAGTTTTGTGGCTAAATACTTCTGTATCAAGAATGTAATATGAAATAGTTTACTCTGAGAAACATATTCCCTGTATCAGAGAGCAGAATACTGAAGATTGCTGCTTTTAAGCATAATTGCTTACGGTGTTACACTACCTCAGAGTAACGCAATGTGAGTCCATCAACAGTTTGTGTACTTGCTTTGCCAATAAAATATACAGTTAAATTAAACTCAGATTAAAAATATACTTAATCTTCCTGGGCTTCAATCCAATAGGTCTTCTCTTACAGTACGAGAAGGGAAATTTTTCGCAATACTTGAGAAGACTGGGATTATGTTATGAACACCAGGATAAACAGGATTAGGAAGATAAACACAGCCACAGAGTGGCATTAGGACACAGTTCCTCAATAATCAGTTCTCTCATTTGTTTAATGTTTTTATTTCAAATTTTAACATTAGGAATTAGGATTTTTTTAGACTAAATTTTCTGGAGAGACAAAGTTAGTAACATCAATTCTAAGGAAGACTGGAATATCGCACAGAAAAATCAAGGGCTGGAGTATCAAAAATAAGGATGAAATATAGCAGTAAACAGTAGAAGTCCATGCAGACAGTAAAAGATCAACATAATTCCTTTGTGTGGGGGACCTAATATTTCTTCTGTTCCCAAGCAGTATCATAAGGTTGCTCAAGTCATTCATATTTTAATGAAAAAAATCCTCATGTACCAGCTGAGGTCTTTCCTCAGCATCTCAACTGTAATAAAAGCACTAGTGTACAAGTCACTCATAATCTTTCCTACACAGGATATTTTGTTCAACACTGATGAAAAGTATTCAAGGTGCAGAGGCACTGCAGTAAATCTGTAAATGAACTGAAGTCTGCTGTATTGTGAGAGAAGAGAATTAGAATTATTTAGCCTTAGCAAATGAATGGAGGAAGGCGGCAGATTGCTTTAATCAGAAAACAGCTGCTAATTAAGCTAAATCATTTAAATTACAGATGTGAAGATTCACAACCACAGAGAAACGAAATTCTAGAACAGACTTCTGAAAACCATCTCAAGGGTTGGCAAACAACCAACACTCCTGGATTTAAAACTGCAGCCTGCCAGACTTCCCAGCAAAAACCATACCAGACAGTTGTATCGAAAGCAAGGGACTGGAGTATCAGCTGTAAGAGATGCAGTCCAGGGTCCTGTGTCCTATGTGACAGGCCTAATTCATCACACAAGCACGATTTTTTCCTGATCTTCCTCTTAACTACACCTCAGTGAATCTAAAAAAAAAACCCCTCTAAATTCTACTGCAGTTTTTGTGGTTAAATATCTGCATATTTATCTACAAATAACACTTCCCAGCTTAGCAAATCTTTGCCAAACTACATGCTTTTAGCTCCTAATTTTTTTCATTTCAGAGTCATTTTTCAAACTCAAATCACTTTTGTTGCTTTCTCTGGTTTTACAAACCACTCGTATCCCTGGAATTAACAATAATGAAGGCATTAAATCCAACCACAACAAAACATTTTGAGAGTCTGCAGCTCAGACTGTTCTCAAGGAATCCATAAACAGTGTGTTTCAGGCTATGCTTTCAATGATACAAAAAACATCTTTTTTTTCTAGGATATTCAAAAAAGCAGAAGTTATTTCTCCAATTCTTGACATTCTTCGCTAGTGTGTAATTAACTTTTTGACTGACAGAATAACTACATACCTTTGCTCATATTTATACTGATTTTTTATCAGCTTCAACAATATAAGGTTACCTGTTATTAACATCAGGTAGCTTGGTACAATTACAGAAAATATTTCACACAAAATCAAGACTTTTCACCTTATTTTAAAATTAATCAAAGCAAACACTCATTTCACAGCTACTGTAACAGAGGAACAAATTTATCACAAACAAAAGATCCCACGGTTCCTAGAAATTTGGAATTACAACATGGGATGGGAATAGGCCAGTAATACTGCTAAGCACAAACAGGTTGTCCTCAGGTGACTTGTAAGCTGAGAGACAATCAGGTAATTTTTTGTTAAGGCATCAAACATAATGGAGGTCTGAGGTATGTATTCATTTGATGGACACTGCTGGAACTTGGAGGATGCTTGGAGTGATCGCCTCCAGTTATAAAGAGCAACATGACAGAAAGCACTTCAGATGTTTCTTTAAAGACCCTTGTAAAATTTAATACAAAGTAGATGATGACAGCTCCCATCATGAGCCAACAGAAGTGAGAAGCTGATAATTCAATACTAAGCAAGAGCTGACAAGTGGGGTAAGGATTGCTATGAAAGAATGATGAAGTGCAGAGGCTAATTACCATCACTGAAGAAGGAGATGGGCAAAAGGAATGGCATGGTTCAAGTGATAGAACATGAGATTTGCAGTCACATTCAGGATGGATATGAGCAACATAACTCTGCATTTATGAAGATCAGGTAAAAGGATCCTCAAAAAACCTGTGTGTAAGATGAGCACAGTACAGACAACACCACTGCTGTGGGGATGGAAAGGAAAAGGTTCAGTCCTCAGACTGTCCACAGAGTAAGAAAGCAGATTACTGACAAAGGTTTGTAATGAGTTTGGAGAAGGAAGAGAGAGAGAACAAAGATAATTAAAACCATGGTTTAATATGACAAGCATTCAAATATAAGCAGATGCCAAAAGACACAGCTTGAGATTTTAGTTTAGACAGATGAAGACGGACATGGAGAGAATCCATTTGTCATCAGCGAAGGTACAGTAACAGACTGGGATACCCAGAAGAATATTAGAACAGAGTTGAAACTTGCTTAACCAATCTCCAGTCAAACCTCACTTACTCCAATATTCTTTTATGTTCTCAAATTATTACAAGTTAACATGCAGGTTTTTATGTTGCAAAAATATTTCTATAATATTTTATGTATGCCTAATGATCTACAAAGTAATAAATCATCAGCACTGCAAAGTTTGTTTGTGGTCACCCATTGACTGCAACTACCTGATTGCCTTTGAAGAGGATAAGCAAGTTTAGAAGTGCTTAATAATACCTGCCATGTTCTTTTTCCTCACCTGTAATCCTTTGTATGCTAGTGCTCTTCTATAAAAAGCTTTAATATTAGAATCTTCTATCTGAAGAACATGATCACAATCCTGCTTAGCCTCTTCATATTTATACAGTTTCAAGTAACAGAGAGCTCTAACACAGAAAAACAGAATACACTGCAATATAAGTAAATTCTACAGTGCTGTAGTGCCAACAGTATCCGACTCATAAATGTTAATTACAATACTTCACACAATTCAGTCTCAATGTGGTATTTTTTAAAGTATATCAAAACCAGTAAGTATCAGTAACATCACTGGATGGATTTAGAGAGGGACAATTCCTGCAATAAAAGTCAAAATTCAAGTATGACTAATGCTTGAAGTCAGGCAGATATATAAGTGTTTTAAAAGCAGAGCCTTTGTTAGTATTATATGATAGTATGGTAGGGGATATAGTATGGATTGGATTGGAACTAGATGATCTTTAAGGTCCCTTCCAATCCAAACCATTCTATGATTCTATGATTTTATACAGCCCTTCTGAGTAAAAAAGTGCTCTAGATTAAATAAGTAACACTGCTTTCTGCACTTTATTATTATTTTGAAGTCTTCTATTCCAGTACTGACCTAATCAAATCCTTCTTAGTTTGTGAAAGCTGATAAGATTACAGCATAAAGAATTATGCTGCAGAATTAGGTCAACCTTTAAAATAATGCTGTTGTATGACCATGTTCCTACTTTTATTTTCTCAAAATGTACATTTTCTCTAAACTATTACTCTTCATATTTGAGATACTGCTACTGCATATTAGTTTTTAATTAAAATCATATCAGTGTTCTCAAAAATGCTGCAAAGTGCTATGATGATTATAACTTTTAGTATTGCTTATTCTATTTATATAAAGATTTTAAGATATATATCAGTATCATTAATATTTGCTCTTTTTGGACAACAATGCAGTTTAAAGTCAATTTTGTTATGAGAAACACTTAAGTCAGGAAAAAGAATCTTTTTTTTACAACAGTGACCAAAGGGATGCAAAATCTCTATCTGCAGTGAGAAAATGTAACTATTGTTATCCCATAAAGAGGGTTAGATTTTGTCTCTTTACCTGTTAGTGTAGATCGTACATTCCTCGGTGTTTAGCTTCATGCATTCGCTGTATTTATTTACAGCTTCTTCATATTTACCCTTTTTTACAAAATCATTCCCTTCATTTTTCAATGTCTTGAACTTCTCCTCAGCTTTCTCACCTACATTACAAAAGGATCACAGTATTACATAAGAAGGTCAGTTCACTAAGGGTGACTGAATAATCTACCCAGGCTAAGAATAAACGCCTGGCAACTGGATCTTTATCGGCCTGCACGTTGCCATTTCTGTGCCAGGTCTCCCTACTGCTCTGAGAAAAGCATAAACCACCATATCTACATTTGGCACAACACGTAATTCCACATGCACCAGGGTAACTATTTTGCTGAAAATAACAGAATGCAACAGACAGCTCTAAAATTGCACCTCCTTCTGTCTAGCCCTTCTGTGTGGTAGAGAGGGACCATGTCTCCCCATGGAGATACCAGTTTTATTTACAATGGTGGCAATTTAATCAGCGGGATTAAAAGCCTTCTAGATCATTACCATTACACCAAGGCAGCCATAATTTCATCTAATACTCTTTCTGCAAGCAAGTATCTATCACAATTATTATGCTAAACTGATAGACAAACAAATCATCACATCAGTAGGGGTTAGTGATACATCAATAACATTCTGTTAACAACTATTCATTTGTAAAAGAGGCTTTGAGGAACCTGAAAACAAACACCTAACTATAGGTTTATTTAATCAATATTGAGTTCTCCTATAATTGTTTTTCTTTCTAAACTCCACATCATTTGCTGCGTATCCTTCTGGGTTAGACTACAATTTTTATCTGTGTTTGCAGTGGAAAACAAATACTGACTGTAGTTTCATGTCTCTGTTGTGAGCAAACAATAATTAGTAACATAGCTCACAGTAAATCATAATGGAAAAAACCCTTACTTTTTGTATCTTGCTAATGAGCATGAGCCCTTTACCAAGCTTCAGGTTGTAAACACTGTATATAACCAGATAATTTTAACCAATAATTAAACTCAGGGAGTTCTTTTATAAAAGCATGGCAGTCTTCTATACCAGAAAACTGCATGCAAACTCGGGGGAAAATTAAGTAATGACGTGAAACCAGAACAGACTTATGCAAGAACCACAACTAAATTATAACTCAAGTTGTTAGACACAAACCACAACAGGCAGTTTTGCAAAAATGTGTCAGCCAACAGTAAGGTTTAACTACTGACTGAACGTTAGTGCTGGCACGCTGCCGGCACCACTATCGCTGTTGGGTCCCACTGATTTGGGACAGACCTGAGAAGGCAGCCACAACCTTAGATTTAGCCTTCAGTGAAGAAAACAGTAACACACTCTTCATTTAGTATTTCTAAAAACAAAGCCTAACCAAAGTCCACTCTACTTGAAACAGACTGATATGTGTTTTGTATCAAAAAGCCGCAGAGCACACTTTACAAAGACAGTGATAGCCAGTTTTGTTTTCCCAGGAGCCGCTTATCTGTTGATATGATATCGCTATGATGATTTTCAAATTCTCTCTCTTAATCAAGTTAGATAAGGTCATATAGATCCAAATTTACTACTTAAAAGGTTTCTATTAAATAGGTTGGTTATACAATGAAATAAAAAACCAACAAGTTCGATTCCTCAATAACAGAAAAAGCCTGGAGTACAATCAGTACAAAAACCCTCCACTTCTCAAGCTAAGTGTTTATGTTTAATAGCAACAATTGCACAAAATACCAGTTTTCTGCTTAATTTTAAAACCCCAAAAGTGTTAAACCAAATTGCTGCCCAGTTCTGTAGTGATAAATCAGTAATGACATGCACTGACAACTGAAATGAAAACACTTAAGTCATTGGAGATTTCAAAAAGTAGAGTAGAATTTTTATCAGTTTAACTGAGTTTAAATTACACATCAACATGCCTCATGTTTCTTAAATGAAAAACCATTTTCTGTAGTATTACTGCAGCCTAGTATCTACTATAATTCAACTCGTATAGAAACTGCACTATTAGAAGTTTCTAGAACCATGCTTTATTCTTGAAAAAAATGTCTAATTCTCATAACTGCATGTATTTGTAAACTGTCTGTTGTTTTACATCAGGTACAAATAAATTTAGTGCTATCTGAAAGATCATCTTTAAAGTCATTAAATCTGTTGTGCCTGTGATAGGTACTGCCCTGCTCCCAACCCCTGGTCTGTCCCCTCAGTGTTGGTCACACGTGCTGAAGAGTGCAGACTATTTGAGGACGTGCACTATTGCAGCAAGGCATGAGGGACAGATAACCCCAGCACTGCTACCTCTCTGGCTGGCAATCCAGCGACACGTTGCAGCCTCCCGTGTTAATCAAGTGAGATTGTCTTCAGCTCTACTTTTCTTTATATTGAAATAAACTCCAATTAATAGAAGAGAAAAAATGATACAGTTAAGGCCGTTGCAAAAAGAATGTTTAATGTCAAGAAAAACTGAATCAGAAAGGTTCCTTCACCAGATTTACTAGAGAAGAAAAATGGAAACTGCAATGAAGAGGAAAAAAAATGAGGAGAACAAAGTGTCCTAAAGGAGTCAAGCACCCAGTGCACATCTGTAAACAAGCCCAGCATTAACATCTTTAAAAGGTGACTACTAATTGGCCACTGTCAAAGTTAGAATCCATCGTAAAAAAAAAATCAGAAGCGTTTTTCTATAGCCCATTTCACTAACTACTGGCCACCTAGAATCATAGAATGTTGTGAGTTGGAAAGGACCCACAAGGATCATCAAGTCCAGCTCCTGTCCTAGCACAGGACAGTCCCAAGATTCAGACCATGTGTCTGAGGGCCTTGTCCAAATGCTTCTTGAATATTTTCAGGCTTGGTGCCATGACCACCTCCCTTGGGATCCTGTTCCAGTGCTCCACCACACTCTGGGTGAAGAACCTTTTCCTAATGTCCAACCTAAACCTCCCTTGGCACATCTTCCTGCCATTTCCCCTGGTCCTATCATTGGTCACCAGAGAGAAGAAATCAGCGCCTGTCCCTCCTCTTCCCCTTGTGAGGAAGTTACAGACTGTGATGAGATCTCCTCT